TGTTGTTGTTGTTGTTGTTGTTGTTGTTGGTGTTGGTGTTGTTGGTGGTGTTGTGATGGTCCAGCCCCGGTGCCGAGAACGCGTACGTTGTGGGAGAGTCGAAGTTGGGTGAAATGAGGCCACAGCGCTGACTGATTGAGAGCAGCATGGACGACATGCGCACGTGAGCCCTTCCTGATCACGGGCAACACCTGCCGAAAGTCGCCTGCCAGCAGGAGTGACGCGGCACCAAATGGTGCCGCGTCACGCCGCAGGTCCCGCAGGGTGAGGTTGAGCGACTCGAGGAGCACACGATTCGCGAGAGGGGCCTCATCCCAGACGATGAGACTGCAATCTCGCAGCTCCGCAGCCAGCTCGCTGGAGGCGTCGATGTTGAAGGGCCGAGGCTGTGGGATGTTGATGGGCACCTTGAAGCGCGAGTGGAGGGTCCGTCCACCGGTGAGGAGCGTGGCAGCGATCCCACTGGAGGCTACGGCCATGGCTTTCAAGCCCAGGTCCCCCAGCACCTCGAGCAGGAGATTGAGGCAAAACGTCTTACCAGTCCCGGCAGGTGCGTCGAGGAAGAATGCAACGTGCCGAGACCGACCACGGCCACGCGCACCACGTGCACCACGTGCACCACCACCGCCACGACCACGGCCGCGTGCACCACCACCGCCACGTACATCACGTGCACCACCACGACCACGCGCACCACGTGCACCACGTGCACCACCACCGCCACGACCACGGCCGCGTGCACCACCACCGCCACGTACATCACGTGCACCACCACGACCACGCGCACCACGTGCACCACGTGCACCACCACCGCCACGACCACGGCCGCGTGCACCACCACGCACCGCCCCAGATCGACGCTGAAGGTGGCGCTCGTGACGCCGCCGCTGTGCGCACACAGCATCCAAAATGTGCTGCACGACAGTGCGCTGAGAGGGCAGCAGGACGGACAGCTTCCGCTCCACGCGCCGTTGCACGGGCTCATCATGGTCGTTGCCATCCTCACGGACGGTGCGACCGTCCTCAGCTATGGGGACGGGCGAAGGCCCGTCAACAACAGGCGGTTGCGGCTGCAGCTGCATGGCAGCGGGTGGCCGCCCCAGGCGGGATGGGTGACAGCCACCGCCGCGGAAAGGAGGGGCGGGCGGTTGGCCAGCCACCCCGAGGGTTCGGCGCAGGTCGTCCCGCGAAGGAAGACCAAAGGAATCGAGCGTGTGGCCCTCCGGCTCAATGGCATCTGCGATCGCGGCAAGCGCCCACGCCTTCAGGACCTCATCTGGCACGAAGCGGCCCTGGCGACGAAGGGCGGTGGTGTAGTCCGCGGTCAAGAGCCGCCAGCACGCGTCGAAGATGTTGATGGGCCGAGGTGGCTGACACATGTAGAGGATGCGCGCAAATATCTCCCGTGCACGGCCCGGCCCGTACGCATTACAGGTTTCGGTAATGGCGGCCTGCCAGTGCTCATCGCGCGTGAGCCCAAGCTCGCAGCAGGCAGCCTTGAACGTGGGACACACGACGCCATCCACAGTGCGCAGGTCCTCAAAGGACGTGGGCCCCCGAACCGTGTGCAGAAGGATGCGGAGGAAGTACAGCTCACCCGCGCCGGGGTGGATGTTGCACACACGACCCAGCGTTGGGGTGGCCTGCGGCCGGCGTCGCTGCACCCACTTGCTACGGCCACGCGAGCGCTCAAGCACAAAGTACTTTGGCAGTTCTGCGTAAGTGAGGTCCTTGGACGTCAGGGTCGGGTGAAGCCGCAGCGGCTCATCGCCATGGTGGCAGTTGAGCTCGAAAAAGGCGAGCAGTGGCGTATGAGGTTGCTCGCCGCTCCTTGCCACGGAGGCCAGTTGCGCCTCTGTGCCGAGCACCGACTGGCGCAAAGGCAGGTGCAGCGTGAGCCGCTGAACAGAAGGGCGTCGGTAGTAGATCTCGTACCCAAACAGTCTCCACGCCGCATCCACGGATCCAAGGACACGCATGTCTCGAAAATGCCGCACTTCATCATGCACAACCTCACCCTCGGTAACGGCGCCGTTGTTGTTGTTGTTGTTGTTGTTGTTGTTGTTGTTGTTGTTGTTGTTGTTGTTGTTGTTGTTGTTGTTGTTGTTGTTGTTGTTGTTGTTGTTGTTGTTGTTGTTGTTGTTGTTGTTGTTGTTGCTTTGGCGCAGACGCATCTCAGTCCTCCACACCTGTGCGCAGCGCGGGTGGCGTGAGTGGCGGTGCTGGGCATGGTGCCAGCTGGCGCGATCGCGCACGTGCGCATGCACAGAGCATCAGCTCCGATGCTGGTGACGACGATCACGACGACGACGATGATGG